CCCTCCGTTTGGGAGACGACTGTTCTGCCCACTGAACCACAGTCATCTTATGACATGTGACCTGACTGAGGTCACGTGTTTTAAAGAGACTAACAGACACTAACCAGCCAAAAGCTCCAACTTGACCTAGAACCCCTCTTATTATCTGCTGAAGCAATAAATTCAGCTTTTCATTCCGACATCTATTGGTGGGGGCCTGCGCATGTTGACCCTGTGCAGTCTGAGTTTTATACATCTTGTATAAATGATGTCGCGACTTACTTTCGTTAGTTACATCTCCAGCGACATAATAATTGCTGGGTTTGTATATGAATCATTATATAAACCGAAAACAGCTGTCAAATTAAAAGTAGCCAGTGTTAATGGATTTAAGAACACATTGTTCTGCTACCCGAGCAGCAGAGCTAAGTTAATGCTAGCCGAAGTTAGCTTCAAGTGCCTGACAGCTGCTAGCTTCCTAATGATATATCTTAAAGATAAAAAAGAAACATGAACTCGTACTCCAAAATTAAAATACGTGTAATAACAACACAGGAAGGAAGAAATACAACCTACCAACAGAACTCGGTTTGATAACAATATGGCTGGATTGTGGGGCGGCTGCATCAAACTAGCTGGAGCTAAACAGGAAACGGCAGATTTGGCCTTCAAAATAAAGAGTAAATTTTATCATTAATTTTATTAACTTCTTACTAACACTAGCAAACATTTCAACTGCTGTTCTAGCCAACAAACATTTAAAATCACCAAACATTGCAAATAGCTCACCAGATAACAAGCCAAAATATAGCCTGACTTCCGTGAAAGTGCTATTGTAAAATCAAGAAATACACTTAAATTCCCCTTACAGCCTTTATTTAGACCGGAAATCGTGGTTGATTGCAGGCAGCTTGACAAAACACAAACACGCCCCTGCACACGTTTGTTTCCTCCGGATTTTAACCCTGAGGTTTCCGTATTCACCTCCAGAGGTGAAATACGGGACTTATGCAATGTCTTCAACCTTACCAGTATTTTCTTACACAAATATTTCAGACGTACAACTTTTGAAAATACACATGATCCCACTATTTACACGGCTGTCAGTAATATATTTCTGATTATATGAAACATACAGGACCAGCAGCTCGTACTGAGACACCGAGTGGCGACAATGAAAGCGTTTTACCATATGTCAAAGAAGAAGGCAGACGCTGCTCTTGTGCTGGTACTTCCGCATTGGCAGGTAAGATAACTACAGCGATTTCAAAGTTTATGTCTAAATTTGACAGAAATATGAGTTGGCCAGGCTGCTGTAGTAACATTACACGGTTTAAAAGACTGTGGGCAGTGTGGTTAATATGTTGATTTTCTCTTGATGATGATCCTCTGTCTGCGCTATATAAGTTGTCACCCTGATCAGTTCACAGTTGAAGTCGTACTCAAGTAATTTAGCTTTAAAAATAGCAATAGGAAAGCCTGCTGTTCACCAGCCTGCAAATGAAAAAAAGGTGTCGATCATTTGATTTTTGTGTCATGTTGCTCTTTCCACAGCACCAGTAGGTTGAAGTTCCCATTTTTTACAGCCTTCAAATACAGTAGCTGCATGATCTGCATAATGGAAAGGTAATGCAGGGACGGATCTAGAAAATTTTAGGTGGGGTGGCCAGGCTGGGGCACAGAGTCAGAGAGGGGTGGCACGTTTGAAAGACATGTAAAAAGTAAACTGAGCCTCTAGTTATATGAAACGATAAACCATACATTATTAATAATCCAATTGTTTGTGTTGTGTAAGAATTAGATATGCAGTGCTTTTTTCCAGGTGGGCAGTGTACAGGAGGTCTTAAACAGATAGTCCTACTAAACCTCCAAGCCAACGCTGGCTTGTGCATTTCTGTAGAAGATGCTCCAGTTAGGTAGATAAGGTGAAAACACCTGTGTGGGGGCTTTGTGTAATATGTGTAGGCTACATAAAAAAAGGCTAGATATACACTACTTTTTCCTGGAAACTGTCTTTTCATTATACTGCCCAACATCAGATATTCGTTTATTCAGTAAATGTTTTATTAAACTTTTGGGGATTTCTTTTTTACCACTGAAAACGTGCTGTTGAACAGAAACATAAAGATTTTAATGAATCGGACTGGTTTGGAAGAGTAGAACACAATGTATAATGCTTGTCTCACTTCAGCCTACACACACTCTGCCCAGAGGAAGTCTAGTTCCTGACCTGCTTCATTGAGCATATTGCGGCTTTAAACTGTTTACTGACTCTGCTTTTTGCATGTTCTCAGTGAAAAACATTTGATTAATATTTTCATGTGTGTAATTATCAAGTAAACATCCAGAAGTTACTTTACAAGACTGTGGTTTATCATTGGTGTCTTCAGTCACAGTATTGCAGTGAGAGATGATGGATCCTGAGGTGTCAGTGCTACTGCATTGTGCAGCCTGGAGGGGGCTGCTGGAGTCTCAAGTGCAGGTGGAGCTTTCTGAACGGTAGGAAGCAGGAGCGCAAATCTGAAATGGGTTTAAACCATAGACCTACATGCCTGAAAACCTTTGCTACATGTATTGTGGTTCAAACCTGCCATGATTTTGATCACTAAGTATGCTCCATGTATAGGACCTCACAGTAGGGCACTGCTTATAGATACTGTATATTAACCACATATTTTATAAAATTAGCTCACCATACAGTTGGCAATGTAGAAAATGTTAATGTAATAAGCAGAAAGTTGCTTTGTTTTCCCTGTCCTCAGATTTAACAGGCACACAGATCCACCTCTAGAGCGTCAAATCGAGGAGACGTGGACAGAGCGGGTGTCCAAGGAGCCATGGCTTTTCAACGGGGCCAAATTCAGACTGCATTCCTTCTGCTTGGCCTTCCCTAAATATCCCTCAACATCCGCTGTTTCTCCTGAACACCCACCCAGTATTCATTCATCACAGGTCCCCTCTGTGTACTGTGTAGAGGATCAAGGCAGCAGATTACACTGCAGGCAAAGACAAGAGGATTTATGTGACAGTAATCTTCTGTGTGATGCTGCTCAGAACAGAAATGTAGAGGATGTTATCCAACAGACACCTCCTACACTGGGACAGACTTCTTCCACTTGTGAGTGCAGGGCATCAACAGCTGAGCTGCCTTCACACTCTGACAGAAACACAGATGATCAGGAGACCAGGCCCCTCCTCACTCTGAGACTCGGCCTTACGTGCTATAAAGACTACCTGGGAACAAACTGGTCCTGTCGAGTTGAAGAGCTACGTCAGCGTGGAGAGGCAGAGTTCAGCGACCCTCTGGCACTGCTGTCTCAGCCACTGGGCGTGGGGGCTATCCTGTGTACAGATGATGGACAGGTGGTTTTGATTAGGCGGAGTCAGAGGGTGGCAGAGGCTGGGGGGCTCCTGGACATCCCCGGAGGTCACCCAGAGCCGAAGGTGAAGTAAACAAAGTAGATTAAATGTCACTAATATGCTTCATCTGCTGATCATATCATAAATGCTTTCCTTAGGTGGTGTGTGAGTGTCTGGGCCAGGCAGTGTGGGAGGAGCAGGTCAGTTTTGCTGTGATGCAGCAGAGGCCGGAGGCTGTCGTCTCTGAACTGTTCTCATCTGTGTGCACCGAGATCAGAGATGAGGTGGGTTTCTCTGCAGCTTCAAACTTGTTAATCCACCCTAGTTATAAGGATGAAAGTGGTGTGTGGAGTCTGTAAGGTGCATAAAGTAAAAGGGGGAACGAAGGACCAATGTCAATGTCATACCAAGTGGGTCTTGAGATGGTCTGGGTTTTCTAATTTGGTAGGCTACACACACCCTTTCTGTATGGCCTACCCTAATATCAGCATTGACTTTATTCCTCTGCGGTGCAGCTGAGAGCTTGGCTTAGCAAAATATAATTACGGAATGAAGAAAAAGCTGCATTTCTAATTTTTATTTACAGTGCCTTGCGAAAGTATTTGCAACCTTTTGCCACATTTCAGGCTTCAAACATAAAGATATAAAACTGTAATTTTTTGTGAAGAATCAACAACAAGTGGGACACAATCATGAAGTGGAACGAAATTTATTGGATATTTCAAACTTTTTTAACAAATAAAAAACTGAAAAATTGGGCGTGCAAAATTATTCAACCCCCTTAAGTTAATACGTTGTAGCGCCACCTTTTGCTGCGATTACAGCTGTAAATCGCTTGGGGTATGTCTCTATCAGTTTTGCACATCGAGAGACTGAAATTTTTGCCCATGCCTCCTTGCAAAACAGCTCGAGCTCAGTGAGGTTGGATGGAGAGCGTTTGTGAACAGCAGTTTTCCACAGATTCTCGATTGGATTCAGGTCTGGACTTTGACTTGGCCATTCTAACACCTGGATATGTTTATTTGTGAACCATTCCATTGTAGATTTTGCTTTATGTTTTGAATCATTGTCTTGTTGGAAGACAAATCTCCATCCCAGTCTCAGGTCTTTTGCAGACGCCATCAGGTTTCCTTCCAGAATGGTCCTGTATTTGGCTCCATCCATCTTCCCATCAATTTTAACCATCTTCCCTGTCCCTGCTGAAGAAAAGCAGGCCCAAACCATGATGCTGCCACCACCATGTTTGACAATGGGGATGGTGTGTTCAGGGTGATGAGCTGTGTTGCTTTTACGCCAAACATAACATTTTGCATTGTTGCCAAAAAGTTACCCTGAACACACCATCCCCACTGTCAAACATGGTGGTGGCAGCATCCTGGTTTGGGCCTGCTTTTCTTCAGCAGGGACAGGGAAGGTGGTTAAAATTGATGGGAAGATGGATGGAGCCAAATACAGGACCATTCTGGAAGGAAACCTGATGGAGTCTGCAAAAGACCTGAGACTGGGACGGAGATTTGTCTTCCAACAAGACAATGATCCAAAACATAAAGCAAAATCTACAATGGAATGGTTCACAAATAAACATATCCAGGTGTTAGAATGGCCAAGTCAAAGTCCAGACCTGAATCCAATCGAGAATCTGTGGAAAGAACTGAAAACTGCTGTTCACAAACGCTCTCTATCCAACCTCACTGAGCTCGAGCTGTTTTGCAAGGCGGAATGGGCAAAAATTTCAGTCTCTTGATGTGCAAAACTGATAGAGACATACCCCAAGTGACTTACAGCTGTAATCGCAGCAAAAGGTGGCGCTACAAAGTATTAACTTAAGGGGGCTGAATAATTTTGCACGGCCAATTTTTCAGTTTTTTATTTGTTAAAAACGTTTGAAATATCCAATAAATTTCGTTCTACTTCATGATTGTGTCCCACTTGTTGTTGATTCTTCACAAAAAATTACAGTTTTATATCTTTATGTTTGAAGCCTGAAATGTGGCAAAAGGTCGCAAAGTTCAAGGGGGCCGAATACTTTCGCAAGGCACTGTATGTAAAATAAAGGTGACTTTGTAAAATCACTTTTGTTTGACCAACAGTCAGAAACCCAAAGAGAGAATTTACAGTGATGTACAGTAGCAAAAAGCAACAAATCCTCACATTTAAGAAGATCATACTAGAAAATAGTGTTTTTATTTATAAATGACTTAACAAATGGTTGTGACCAAATTATTTCCTCATTACTTTGAACTGGCCAAACCATGCTGGTCATGGGTTTTGTCTCTGGGTGATAAACCTTGAAACCTGCACATAAAAGCTTTTGAAAAAGCATCAGTAAAACTACCAACTGAAAAATAACTGTTTTCGAAGATGATGACTGTTATTTGTAGAATATTAAGGAATTGGTAGGGCGCTAAAGATATTTTCAGGCTGAACACATGCTGGATTTATTGATCATCCTTGTGTTGGTATCTCACTGGACCCCAACGCTTGAATCAACCATTTCAACTCACATAACATATACAGTACCTCTGACATGATCCCTGCTATGCCTTGTATGCTGTTTAACTTTTTAGTTAATTTAATGAAAAGGTCAAAGAAAATTCACTTAACTTCCACTGTCATGAAAAGTTTAGTTAGCATTTGTTTGCCAAAGATACAGAACAAAAAGCCAAGATTTTAACTTCTCACTTCAGCATCCCGTCTTTCCACTGTCTGTCCTCAGGTGAATATTCCTCTGAGCTCTCTCAGGGAACCGATCCTACTGGGTGTTGCTCTGAATCACACCAGCGCTGGAAGACCAAGCGCAGAGTTCTATGTCAGGTACTTTCATTTTTAATCCCTGTAACATGCTGCAGTACTGTCTCCCCACACACATGTACACAGGCTGTATTAATCTGTCATGTTGTTTCGTCTTGATTCTGTTGTATCTATTTCTTTAGTTGGGGCTGAAAATCAGCCAGTTGCTTTTCTGTTCAACAATATTTGTCTGCATTGTACAGTGGCCCTAGTGTAAAACACTAACAGAATAGAAAATGCACTAATATTTCACAAATCATATTGATTAATTAGAGAAAACAAAAAAACATCTCAGAAAATGTAGCCATTCAGAAAAAACATTTTAGAAGTTCATGCTGGTGAACAAACATTGAATTGAGGTTGTGAGCAAATGCATTTATAGGTCTAATGTGAAAATGTCCCCAAACAGCACTAATGTTGTTGGAAAAGTGTCACATTTGCTTTTCTAAACAAAACCCACTGGTGACCAAGTCCTCGGGCTTTCCTGTGCCGTAAAAGAGTCTGGTTCGAACGAAGAAGGTCAAACTGTAAATATATCTATTTTAAAAATAAATGGCATGGCAATATTGGATTATTTGACCTGTGAAAGTGGGCTTAAATGAGAACCAATGGATCACTGCTGTTAGAAACACAGTTCACTATTCATTGGAACAGTGTACGAGTCAACATACATTTTAAATTTATTTAACCAGGTGAGGCTGATAACCAATTTTGCAAGGCTGACCCGACCAAGATAACAAATGGAGGAAAAAAAGTCTGCCAACTGATAAACGGAGATGCAATGTCCTATAACATACAGTTGGTTGTGTTTGTATCCTCAGTTGCTCACTGACATCTGATGAAGTCAGAAAGTTGTACTGGAAAGGAGGAGCAGAGGCCAGTGAGTCCACAGATATTGTCTTCCTCAGCAGAACTGTAAGTAATCTTTATTGACAGATGCATACATGTCTGCATTGTGCTTTTATTTGGCAGCTGCATTAGGAGGAAAGAACAGTTTATGGAACATGTAGATACACAAGTTGTATCTCAAATACCTAACCACACCATAAAAGTATTAAAATTGTCAAGTACTGAGACAGCATTTTGACTTCTGTGTTTTTGTAGGAAGTAAGACAGCTAAACAGAAGCAGCCCTCTCTGGTCAGAGCTGTGTCCTTCAGCTAAAGGAGCCGTGCTGCTTTATCAGACAGTGCTGATACCAGAAGATGGACTCAGATGATCAAATGAACACACAGAAAATCCTTTTCAGTAAAGTTCAGGGGTTTATTTCAGACACTCTGACCCATACTAGTGCTGAAACTGTAAAACTGTATTTTTCATCATTTGTACAATGTGCAATAAAAACAAAAGTTTGAAAATATTTTTAGATAAAAATCCTAAAAGTGGCATTGTTCTGGTGTTAAAATTAAGAAGATACTATAACACTGATTATCTTTGACTGGTTAAAGAAACAGAGTGCAACATATACCGACTTCTAGAGGCACACCTTTTTTTTTCTCAAATCAATAAAAATCACTAGACTTATCCTTGTCCCTGATGGACTAGTGGCTAGGATTCAGCACTCTTTTCGCTGCGGCCCGGGTTCAATTCAGGTGTTGCATCAGGAAGGACATCCGGCGTAAAACACATGCCAAATTTCAACATGCGAATCCTCAGTGTGACAATTTGCCATGGCGACCCCTGACGGGAACAGCCGGTGGTGACAGACAGACTAGACTTATCATCCTCGTAAACAGAGTTTGTGCAGCAGCTGTTTCTTCTTACTCCAGGATTTGTCACCAGTATCCCTCATAACTGCTGTAACCAAGTCCTCTGTAGTAGTGGCCCTGGTCCTGATGCACCATGTTCCACTGAAACGTACGCAACACAAAAGAACAATTGGTCTCATTCATAAACTGTTCTTAAGAACAACTCTGCTTGTAAAACCAACTTACGAAGTTTTCATAAAGATACCGGCATTCACCATTGTTGTTGTTCACCAATATTTGGGATTTGTTTTTAGGTAAGAAAAGAATTTACACACTTGAGCACACTTATGCATATTTGAGCACTGACGTGTTTGTGATTGGTTTATAGATTTCACAGCTCATAATACTCACATATCTTGGCTGTTGACTCCATGACTGCATGAGCCTTGCGTTGTTCCACCCTACACACACAAATGAAAATCAGATCAACTAACATAATACAACATCAAAGATGCCAAAACACTATCCAATATTTCTCCTGACCTGTCCACTGGGTCCTGTGTGAGGGTGGAGGTACTTCATGGCAGGGTCTTTTCTTGTAAAGTCGTGGTTTCCTCTTCTCTGGTTTGGGGATGGGTGGCAGCAGTCTGCGAGCCTCGTCTTTATACTCCTGCAGGAGCTCCTGCGCCTGTTCCTGAGACAGTTCAACGTACTGCAGGTCCTCCAGCAGGTCACTCTGCTGCTCTGGAAGACTGCAGCTCACTGGAGAGATGTATGGTAGATATAGTATGCATGTTATGTTCAACCTGCAGAGCTAACATTGCTCTCTGAGGAACTTTTTTAAGACCTATGATACCCTAGAGTTTCAGATTCATACTGATACATGTCTGCAAAATCACTAAATTACACATAATTACATAAATACCTAATTAAGTTAAGTCACAATTCTGTGTCTGTTAATAACGGTTAACCTGCGTCACTGCACTGGACTAAAGTGACACAGAGCTATCTTCTTATTAATCATTTAAATATTATACTTCCTAACAAATGTGCAGGAGACATACCTTGGAGTTTGAGGAGAGCGGTCTCAGGGATCCGCACCCAGTCATTCAACTGGTGCTGCGACAGTCGTCTTCTCCATTCATCTGCTGAGGGAAACACTACTACCACCTGCCGCCTGAAGCCTGCAAACAGCTGCAGCTTGTATCGACGAGCAGAGAAGAGGATGTTGCACTGGAAATGAGGATGTTGATTGTATCGATTACTAATAACATCCCCATGCTACTGACCACAGGTTTCTGACTTGACATTTTGTTCCCTTACAGAAGTCGTGATGTAAATTATGTAATGACTAACAGCAGTGATTACTCTTATTAGAATCAATGTTCTTTAAGCAGTTAATATCAAAGCATGAACCAAATACAGTTGCACAAGGACTTGTATTAAATAATCAAAACATTCTCTAGCAGCACCAAACTGGGACAGTTTACAGTATGTAAATTCATTATAGCTAAAATTATTAGCTATTTATTCTGATAATAATGACAATAATAATACATTTGCTAATAAGAAATTTATTGATTGACAATGGAATTACTGGCAACAGTTTTGATTATCAGTTATTTAAAATAATTTTTAGACAAAAATCCAGTGCCGTCTTCTCAAATGTCAATATTTTCTGGCTCTCTTTATCTTTTATAATAGTAAACTGAATATCTTTTGGTTTTGGACCGTTGGTCGCAAACCAAGCTATTTAAATTTGTTGACTTGGGCTCTGTGCAATTGTAATGAACTTTTGTCACTATTCTGTGACATTTCATGGACCAATTAATTGATTAACAGGGCAAATAATGGGTAGATTAATCAATAATGTGAAAAAGCATTATTTGCAATTCTAGAATACGAGTTAATTTTCCTGACACTTGAGTGATAAACTAGCATGCTTTCAGAAGTGGAGAGTTACCTGGTCAAGGATGTAGTTGCCAGGTGTCTGAGCAGCCATCTTGATTAAATCAGTTAGACACTGACAGGCCTGCTGCAGCCTGCTGTCGCTCTGTCCGCCACTCTATACACACAATATATGTTTGGATGAGTTGGTTAGAATCTGATCATCATCTTTGAATGTGAACAGAAACAGTGTGATGGGACATCTGACTGACAATCATACAGGCGAGCAGCTCCTCTGTTCCCAGCAGTCTGTACTGTTTATCTGGATGTTGCTTCATGTGAGTCCTGGCCCAGTGGCTCTTCCCAGAACCAGGAAGACCCACCATCAGCAGCACCTGAAGGGAGGGAGACAAAGATCAGATCCAACAAGTATGCAGGCTAAAATGCATTTCTGATAAATGGAGAGATTAGTGCACTTTTGTTTCGGCTTGAGTTGAGTTTTTCTGCCTTGCTGAAAAATGCGGCTAACGATGAATTCAAAGGCAACAATGTAGAATTTCTAAATGCTATGTTGTTTTTGCACTGGTGCTGGACTATATGTCAGATCTTCTTGTCAAGTCTACATACATATTTACTCCTAAAATGTCTCTTTAAATAGCTACTATAGAGTGACACAAAAACTCCACTGCAAAATGCTTTTTGTGTAACAATTACTCCTGATCTACTTACAGTAATTTCTGGTGTTGCCTGTGTTAATACCCTCTGTCTGACATTGCAAAAGGGTTTTCACAACATCTCTGGCTAAACACCTCATTATTCTGAAATGAAAATATGTTTCACCAACTAAATTTGAAAGTTGGATCAAGGAAGAACTGAACTGTGAAATTCAGATACCCTACTAAGAGCTGTCCAAAACTTCTGCCTGATGCCAAGAGTAGCTGAGTTCGCCTTCCCTTTGTTTATACAGTACTGATCTTTTATGTTCAGTGGGTAGATCCGAGCGGGTGAGAATATAGAATCCCAGCTACTGTCTCTCACCTCACACTGTGCTCTGCAAAAAGGGGTCTGTGTGGCACGCACCCTCTGCCCAACAGGGAGTGCTGCCAGCGGTGTAAACCCTGGAGGGCAGGGGTACCAGGGGGGAGCTGTGGGGTCCAGGAGGAATCTGACCGAACAGCTCTTACAGAGGATGTGAGGGAACAGAGGACGATTCTCCAGCACTGAGGCGCCCAGAGAAAAGGCCACACCAATGAAACGGCCATTCTTATGGAAAGAGAGCTGAGCGGCACCATCTGTGGAGAAAGACTGTGGGTGTGCAGGTGTAAATGTAACACACACACGGTTGAAATGAGAGAAAACTCACTCTATAACTGGATCCCAAAGAGAACAGAAATCCAGGAGAAAAGTATAACTCACAGTGTAACAGCCAATGATATCACCCTCTGAGAATGGTTCTCCAAACTCATCTTCTTTTCCACCTGACACTTTTTTACCACTCCAGTCATAAGCAAAAGAAAGATCATCCTCACCTGGTGTGAGACAAGTTAAAAACCAGCAGGAACATAAGCATGTTATCATAAAAAAGAACAGAATGTGCCTCTGTTCAAATAACTTGTCCTGGGAAAAACGAATAAATAAACGTAACAATGGACCTCATCCTTACCTAGCAGCAGAGAGGTGCCAGCCAAAGACCAGCCTACTCTCAGACCATAGGGCTCCATGACCTCTTGGTCCTCCAGCTGTGTAGTCAACAACTTTCTCTCCAGCCTCACCTCAAAGCCCACCCTGCCCTGAAGCACCCCATGGGTGAGCCTGCAACCTGACCACAGTGAGGGGAATCGAGCCCAGAACCGCGGATGCCCACAGGCTCCATCAGGACCCACCTCAAAGTGCAGGTGACTGCCATCTGTGCCAGGAACAAAGAGACCTAAAGCTTCAAAGTGCTTTTGTTATAATTTTGCATTTTTTTTTTTTTTTAAAAGAAACTACATCTTCTGAGACAGGTTTTGTTGCCAAAAAAATACTGATAAAATATTTATGTTCCAACAGCTGTGAGTGTTATCCAAAAAGACTTACATGGATCTAATCTGACTTTATCTTCATCTTCCTCCTCTGCCTCCTCTCTGTCCAGTGACAGCTGTAGTGATTTGGCTCTTGTTGAGGAGAGAGACACATAGCTGCTTCATAACACCTTTCATTACAGACTTGAAATAATCCCTTAGGGACATGTCAAGGTTCACATTAAGGACAATTTTCAAACCAGGTTCTTTTAAAATGTTGTTTCCCATCATAAATATTCAGAAAGGTCCATCTGGTCTACCTTTGTTCTTCAGCTCTACAACATATAGAGCTAATAGATATACGGTATGTAAAGTCAATAATTCCTAATAGGAAGTCAGCGATTTACAAGTGATTTCTAGGTTTTCTCATAGCTTCATCCTCACATCTATACCTACACCCACTCAGGTCTATATCATTAAACCCATTAAAAACACCAGGATGTTTTTGGCTTTCGTGGTGGCTGGTGCCATGTTGTCATTAAATGGAAGCACGTCTCTCACCTGAAATTCAGAGACCGGATCATGTAGGTACTGAATGATATGAAGCTAGAGAAACTAAGACACTCCACTAATGACTAGAAATCCTTCACACAATATGGAAATCCATTCTAAAGTTTATAAATCACTGACAGGGGCACCTAATGTTGAAGAGGGCCCCAATTTATTTAGTTGATTTTTCTATTTATCTGCCCAAAAAAATAAACAAAACTGTACATGAGGGTCAAAGTAGCAGTGCTAAAATGCTAAATTGCTCCAAACTACAGTCAGCTTGCATTACCTTTTGTATCGCATCTCATCTTTAAATAGTGCTGTTACACCAATGTCGGGCTCAGTCTGTGTGGCGGTGTCTGTGTGCTCTCTGGTACAGTCTGGTTTACATGGCGTAGCAACACCCACTTCTGTCGGTGGTGAGGAGAACACAGAGCGGACCTCCGCTGTCTCAGTCGGCGCTGAAGCTATCGTTAAACTGTCCTTTTGTAAATTTACTTCTACTTCTACTTCTCCGTCTTTTCCACGTTGGCCCGTCTCTAACGCAGACCACAGCCTGTCGACCAGCTCAGCCTTCAGTCCTCTCGTGTCCAACCCAGCTTCTTTAAGTCTTAACCGCAACTCGGCCACTTTTAACTTTTTAATGTCTGTTAGCTTCATTGTTGCCGTGTTAGTATAAATATATGTGCATTTTCAAGTTATAACTTCTTTAATTTAAAACCCAGGTCAAAGTAACCTGAAGGAAAATAACAGGGAGTGTTTCCTCAAAACAGTTTAATATGGTCCCCGGTTTATGATTGGGTCTTCACTTCTTCTTCGCTGTATTTTTGGCAGATTAGACACTCCCAGGATCGCTGCTGCCCCAAACGATCACAAATGTTACTACACTCGGTGTTGACATGCGATCATGATCCTTGACCATCTTTTCTTTACAACTACATCACTTTTAGGAACTTGTGATAGAAGTCGTTTACCTTTTTCTGTAACACTTTATAGACTAACTGAACGATCGATTAAAAGAAGAATTAACAGATCAACCGATTTTGCCTTTTACTCTGGGAATGGGTGATGGCCATTTTCCACTTTTATGACATTTTATACAAAAAACAACTAATTGAAAGAATAGGCAGCAGGTTAATGGATAGTGAGAATATTTCTTATTTGTAGCCATGTTTTAGATATCAAAGAAGAACTTACTAGTCAGTACAGATGTATAGATGTACTTGGTTTGGTGAGTGTAAATTAAGACAACAATTGTAATGGAAAGCTTTTTATTCAACAAACAAGATAAATGCAATGAATGTGAACAAGCACAAGCCGGTTCAGGAAGTAAAATGCAAGACTCATGTCAGTTATCATACAAAAACACTGCATGTTACACTTCAGTTCAAGTGACAAAACTGTCTCGTCTCGCTTCAGATTTTTTGCTCCACTGTCTGTGTATCATTACAACCATTCTGAGTCAGTGATAGGAAAAACGATTAGAAACAACTTTGGGTCATTTCTTTTAAAACATACAAATCTCTCTCAGTATCACAGATCCTTAAAATTTTACCACCTGACAATACTTTGCAAACTCTAGATGGATCACTGGAAAAGATTTGACGGCTTCATTAACACCCTGAGAGTGGCTGTGTCCACACAAACAGCATCATATAAAAATCATCACAAGCAGAGAAGGTCAACACTGACATTTTTTTTTTTACCCTAAACACAAAAGAAGATTTGGGTCATGCTCACACAGTGAGCCTGTTTCACAGACTCTGTGGCTTAGTCATTCTCTCACCATGCGGTTCACAATAAAAGCATCTCAATATATCTGAATTTTACACTCAACAGTCAGTAATAAAAAATAGTATTCTTCCTGCTAAGAACGCAACTATGCAGATATCAGACTCCAGCAGAAATTTAAACAACCATGTACATTAAATATAATCAGAACAAACTTCAGGAAGAGCACCATCTGGAAGCTTGTGGCATTGTCAGTGATGTGAGTAAACAGTAATGCATCAATTCACAAAATTACAGTCAAACGGAATGGATACATGATCACTTCACACTGTTATTAGATCGCTAAATACATCTGTTAACTATCCAGATCTGTCTTTCGTCCAAATCAAGATTTCAGAATTGCCTCTCATGCAGTACCATTATATTGAAGTCACAGAGGTAACCTCAGTTTTACTAAAAAATAAATTCCTGCAAAGCTTTGAAAAACTGAGAAACTTTCTTAAAATACAGTATTGTTCTGAAGACACTTCAATAATCCTTTAAGTCGCTCCTAATCATAGATGAAAAAATATTCAACCTACTGATAGATAGAAAACTCTGTTTCTTAAAATGTACCTAGAAATTACATGGCGTTGCTTATTCTGCAAGTCATACACCAAAATTAGCATTTTATTGTCAGTTATATGTCTTTGATAATGCATTAATCAATTTTAAAGTTTATTCAAAATACTGCATTAATATTTTTCCTCATCATAGAAAACAAGAAGCCATTTACTGCTGCATGCATATACAATAAATAATGTTGGCAGAATGGAATGGGCAGAACAGGAAAGCAGGAAAAACAGGAAACCTCCTGTAATTCCAACATTATTTCAGGATAAACAGCCTGAAGTATCTTATTTTGAAATCAGACACACACACGGTGTATAGATAATTTTAAATTATTGTACAGTATTAATGATAGCATTGGATTTTATTTAGATTTAACTGCCAGTGATGGAGGCTTCGCAGTGGTGTAATTTATTGTGCAGCAGACTAAATATTTTCATTCAGATGATAAGAAGAGCTGTACATGATTTTGGGAATGGACTTTTTGAGTTTTTTAAATATTTGTGAGTCATATGTAATAAATACTAAAGAGGCTAAGTTGTAGTCACTGTGAGGTGATGACAGTGCTGTGTAATGTAAGTGATGGCGTGTCTCCTGAAAACAAAACAGTCTGTAGTAGCATAATTAATCTGACTGATATTAGATTTCTCAGTCCAATACAGACATTGTCACTTCAGCTGACTACAGATTATCCATTATTCATAGTTTGACAAAAGCATTTCAGATAAGGATCCTTTAAATTTGGTCATCAAAAAGTTGTAAACTATTTTAGATTTTTCAGTTGAAAAATAAACTTTTCAGTGCTCTCTGGAGGCCAGACTATATAATGGAGATGCTGTTTCTAAACTAGAAATGTAACAGATGGGTGACCTGTCCATGGTGTACCCTGCCTCTCGCCCAGTGTCGGCTGGGATTGGCTTCATGCCCCCCCCCCCCGGCCCCCCCCAAGGTAAAACAGATTACTTCATGCCCCCCCCCCGTGACCCTCTACAGGATAAGCAGTATAGATAATAGATGTTTCTAAATTACATCAAAAACTTCTTTGGCATTTGCCTATACTGCAACCTCTTAGTTACTTACTGGCTGATATACTGTATAGGATTGATCTGTCAGGCTGTATCATACAAGATAATAAATTTTACCAAAACAACCAGATTAAATAGTATGTCCTAAACTATTATTCCCACATTCTACATGCAGTATTAAAGATTGTAGCATTAAGAACTGTGGTGTAGACACTATCAGCACTGATAAGGGTAAAACAAACCAAAAAATCCCATAAAACTTAAGGTATACTATGGAGTTCAGCATAATACCTTATATCACTACATTATTCACTTTTAGACTAAAATGGTGGGTGTAGCTGAAGGATGTGGAGGTGAAAGGGAGCCGCTGTCAGACTGACTGTATCCCAGCAACAGTTCCTTCTCACGAGGAAGACAAGGCCCACTGATGTGCTGGCTATGGGAGTGGTACAGCCGCAGGAAGGCCAGGATGGACTGAGCCAGCCACAGGGCAGTCACACACCACAGAGAGGCCTGAGGACACAGGGTATCATTAACTATGCATGTCACAGTAATACAATGAGAACTTTCTGGTGCATGCCAGTGTGTCTGAAATTTTTCTGCCATTCAAATAGATCTGCTCAGCTCAAGTTTGGAGCACTCCTACCTGTGCCAGACTGAGCTCTGTGTAGAAGGAGGAGGTGTCCACGTCCAGGTAAAGTGGAACAGACTCAGACTCTGCACAGCTGAACAAAAACAAACATAAAGAGATGAGGAATGATCCCAAATCGCACTCACATAATGCACACACACATATCAGCCTAATTCAAAATTTTGTTTTCCCACTTTGCAGTGTCCTGGAACAACAAGTGTGAAGATGTATTTCTTTTATCCTACTGGTATTGGACAATAATGATTTGACAACATGATACTGGTATCAGGAACTTTAGTAACTCAATCAAAATTCTACATATCACACTGATTTAATTTAAGGATGATTTTAGAGCTGCAATCAATCAATTAGTCAACTGGGAATTTTTTATTTTCTGACAAATTATTTACCAATCGACCAACTAATTAGTCTAGAAAATAAACGAAAGATTAATCAATGATAAAAGTAAATGTTAGCTGCAGCCATGCATGGTTTATTTATTGTTTACATACAACACAACCTCTCATATAAACCCAATTTTAAAAGGGGCATTCTGACCATATCACTCCCACAACATGCACAGTATGACGAAGCGTAGTATGAGACTACTTGCCTATAGGGCCGTGTGTTATCATCCGTCACGGTGTCACACCAGGAGGCCAGTCCCAGAGACAAGATAACACTGGCCCCTCCGGACAGGAAGAACACACACATACTCAGCAGCACTGTCAAGAACGACGAGAACAGGGTGCTAAGCAGAAACACACATTACAGACATTATTAGACATACTTGGGACACACACACACGCACCAACAGCCAAACAGTATGTTTTGCAAATGTAGGCTGACTGTTATAAAATAAACTGCCAGTTGTTTTAATAACTGAATAAACATTTTTGTGTGTGTCTTGTTTATGTTGTGTTAGTAATTCACTCGTCATGTCGTCCATGCAGATAAAACAGGCTCCTCCAGCCCTGCGCAGCACCGTACAGCACCGTGAAAATACCGACAAATGTGGCGAACTGGCAGCTTGCCAGTGGGCCCCAGTGCTGCACAACCAGGTGAGAGGCGTCTCCCGGCTGTCCTGTCAGCTCGGGCCGGTTCTCTGTGCTCCAGTAGCCGGTGGAGAAGAGTGCGCAGCGGACTTTAAAAGCGG